GTGGACTACAGCCCACTTCTTCGGATGCATCCGAAGAAGTGGGCTGTAGTCCACGAAAGCTTATGCTCTAATAAATTTGTTAGTCTCTAAGGTGCCACAAGTACTCCTGTTCTTTTTAAGGTTTTAAAGGTAGAAGATAAGGTATTTTGCAACAATGTCAGCTTTGTTCAGCACCATGCCAAGTTAAAAATGGCAAGTGAGAAGACAGCTTGACTTGAAAACTTGGAATTGACTCAAGTCTTGGAAATCAAAGTGTAGCTAACCTTAAAACAAAATAAAAAGCCATGTGACAGACTGCAGACTCTTTAATCCACAGGAGGGAGAGATTGTAGGACAACCAATCCAGAGAATGTTTTACTCATGAAAAAGCTAGAGAAGTCTATAAAGTTAAGTCAAAATATCTAGGTTACATCCCTGATTCAAATCATATTAAGCATTAACAAAAAGGGAGATTCACTTATGGACCTCAAGATCACTGAACATGAGCTACATCAAAAGAACACAAAATGAGTGCAACGTGTAAAAATCAAACTGGGCTCTAGCAGAGCTTCCATAGCCTGTGGAGAAAAATCCCTGTGCACTGAAGTCTGTTACACTGCTGGAGGGTGGGTGGGGGTAGGGAAAGAACTCTTTCCCACTGCAGAATTACTAACTTGGGCCTGGTCCCCACTTAGTCCGGACTTCGGACTAAGGTACGCAAATTCAGCTACGTTAATAACGTAGCTGAATTCGAAGTACCTTAGTCCGGATTTACCGCGGTCCAGACGCGGCAGGAAGTCTCCCCCCGTCGACGCCGCATACTCCTCTCGGCGAGCTGGAGTACCGGCGCCGACTGTGAGCACTTCCGGGATCGATCCGGGATCGATTTATCGCGTCTTAACCAGACGCGATAAATCGATCACAGAACATCGATGGCGTGCCGCCGGACCAGCCGGTAAGTGAAGACTAGGCCTTGGCTTCACTTTCCTGGAATCATCTGTTCTCTATCCATATGCCCAAATGTACATGCAATTAGAGATTTCATTTTTGCTACTGCACACCTGATGTTAGGAAGCTAGGTAATGTCGAAGCTAATTGGGTAGTCAAGAAAATGGATAATTAGAATTCACTGTTAATCTAGATTTAAATTCCAAAAGAGTTAAAAATGTATCTAAAGAAGCCAGCTGAAAAAGATCAACGGTAATTTGAGAGAAAGAGATGCACTGCATCTGTATTATACATTGACCTGTTTTTGCTAAACCAAGACTTACACCTGAGTTGAAGTTACAAAGTGCCTCTGTTGTGCACACCCATTAACCTTTTGATTGAAACTCAGGTGTCATGTCTGGGAAGAAGATCAAAGGTTTAGTAGAAGTTTGGTAGTGCAGTGCCATACTTATCTACTTCTATCAACATGCATCCACAGCAACGGGCTACAATTGTGAATCTGGGTACATTCGCATAATTACAACATCAGAAAATATATCCTGCCAACATTAGCATCAGGAGAGAGCTCCCAAAGCTAAAACCTACAGCAGTGCTGTAACAGAAGCTAACATCAGTAGTGGTCTGCTATGCCACACTAATGACTATTTCAACACATGGAAAATTCAACCATGCAACATGACTTTCCCTCCTGTCAAAACAAGTGGAAGCATCTCTTCATGAAAGATGTCAAAGATTCGTAATTGAATTAGGCAACAAGTTTCTTTGTATCCCTCTGGAAGTGAAAAAGGAATTAGAAGCCTCCCAGATGCTTCCACTTATCCTGCCTTTACATGGATATAAGTTATAATTAACAAATGCATGATGGAGCCTTCAATTTTGGGGCTCCTTTCATAAGGCTGGTTAATTGCGCAGTGGTCTCCAAAGTGGGGTGCGCAAGAGGATCCTTGGGGGGTGCGCGGCAGGAGGAGTGCTTTTTTTTTTGCTTCGTCAGTTTGGGCAGGAGTCCGAGTGGCTTTTTTTTTTTTGCTTTGGCAGTTTGGGCAAAAATGGTAGAGCTGGCGCAGAAGGGGTTGTGTGCTCAAATTTTTTTTACTGATGGGGTGCGATCAAAAAAGTTTGGACACCACTGAATTAGTGTATTAACACCCGAAGCAACCTCAAGTTTCCAAAATCCCGTAATACTGAATTTTTTTTTTTTTTAAACAAAGATGCGTTTCTCAAGTCCCAATATAAGGTATGAAATTGACCAGTTTTCATTCCCTTCAAAGCCATGGAGTGACCTGGAGCATGCCGCCCACTCCTTTAAAACATGACTTTAAAACACACAGGTGGCCGATATGAACCGGAAAGGGAATACTGCAATTCCTTTACCTCACTGTGCCTCTTCTGTTGCTCTGCTGCAACTGAATGAAGGGCAGGTTCAGCTCTCATGACACCTCACACCTGCAGTCAAACAGTAACGAATGGGGGAGTGGGGAGGAACAGGATAGGAAAGAATACAAACCTACACTACCAGTCACTTTGCAAAGTCAACCCCCCTGCCACCAACTTACCTGAACACACCTACCTTCCTGCTGTCCTTCAGAAGCACAGAGCTCTGTAAAAAAGGTGATTAAACACACCATGCATGACAGCAAGTCAGTATAGACAGTCTTTTAGCAAGCAAAAGATCCTACCACAGTTACTTAGCTGGTTGATTTGTTTTACCTTTCATCTAGTTCCTCTAGCCGGCTCTTCACCGTGTGGGCATTGTTCTCCTTGGTAATCTTCTGCAGGAGGTAGAATGTCTGCTGGAACATCCGCAGCAAATACTCCTCAAACTCCATAGGCACGCAGTTCTTTGACATAAGTTCATTGATGCAAGACATAGCCAGGATCCCAAGCCTACCACGCTCTTGACCCAAGACAGAATTCTGGCTGCTGCCATTGACAGAGGACATCTTCCTGGCTCGGGTGTCGCAGCCAAAGCGGGCAAAGTGGAATATGGTGGTGAGGAGTGAAGGAGTGATGCTGGCAGACAGAGGGATCCAGCTGAAGAGGTGGGCCAGGCACTCCAATGCCAGGGAACAAATATATTCACTCTCTGTATCAAGGATAGGGATCGGTTGATTCAATAATTTGGCTGCACTGGGACTCTGCAACAGGCTACTTAACAGGTCACCACCTAGGATATAAAGCATATGCACTCCTAAATCACAGTATGCATACCAAACAGAGGGGAACTGGATGTGTAAAGTTAAATCTTGACCATAAATCAAAAGCAATTTTTTTGCGTTTAATTGCTGCTCTTTATGCATCTAACAAGTTAAATGTCTAAAGACAAGCATTCAATGCAACATGCCATTAATAGCTATATGATTCTACAAAGCATACCAGGCAACCCCATCTCACCTCAGCTACCTCCTTTGTGTTCTAAAGTTTCAGACTGACCAAACCTTTCAGTCTGGCTAAGACACTCCGCAGCAGGCAGCACTGCAGTTGAGAGGAGGTATATAAAACAATTGAATGAAAGCTAGAATTCAGCTCTGTACTGCAGCATGTTACATTTCCAGCTTTACTGGTATGGCACACACAAGCACTGCTTTAATTAAGGCTCTGGTAGCATTTTCATTATAAACCTATTTTAGGGCTTGGGAGCCTGTTATAAAATTTACTTGCATAATTAAATCATTGGCAAAGTTATGTTTTCCATGCATATAAAATAAACTTTGTGGATTCTGTCTGTAATACAATGCTTACTTACAAAAAATAATATTTATAAAGGTATTCGTTTCTAATGTGGACTAGATCATATTTAACAAGTATCTCAAAAGTATGCAGATCACAGCAATATGTAGCACTTCATAAGCACTTGACATATTACAGTTCAAATTTTTATTCACATTTTGCCTCTTATTCAAAATGAAGTAATCTGAGACACTGATAGCATGAGAGACTATAATCCAGTTTCCATCTTGCCTCAGTAGATTACTTTTAAAATGCTTAATGAAGTTTTTATGGGGTTTACAACCTGTTATTGGTCTCCTACTCTATCACAAGTGACACCATTTTTAGCGAGGTGGCTGCTGTCACCACTAGCTTCAGAACTGCCCTTTACACTTGCTTACACACATTTTCTAGTTTATTCTGACAAGTGCTTCTCAGCACTGTGAATGACGCATGCTGTTTGGCTGAGTAACCGGATGCTTCTGTCCTTTAGATCTTAACTTCCAGATTCCCACAGCCTCTCACCATTTACATCTATGTTAACACTGCAAATGAAACGTGACCTGGTTCAGCTCTCCTGCCTCCTTCCCCCCTCCCGCAAATGCAACAAAGAATCTAAATCAAACAAGGGTTTTACCTTCTTGTGCATCACCACCAGCAAGACATTGTGCAAATTAGATTAGGTCCTCTGTGACATATGCAGACCCACAGTCATGAAATTATGCTCTCAGTCGCAACTATGCAACTTCGTAGCTTTTATGTCAGCTACAACTGAGAACTACTAAACAAGTTATGAATCTATGGAACAATTATGTTGATGCACAAGGAGAAAGAGGTTCCAAGTCCCTCTCCCTTAGCTATGTTAAATTCTGCATGGTTAGTAGAACTGAGGCAGTCCATTTTAATTTTTTTTTATTCATTTTGTTCATTACATATGGCTGAATATACCCAAGAAACAGATTTGACTATAGTAGTACCATTTTCACTTAGTCGCTTTCAAGTAAAGCAACACTTTAAGAGAGGCCAGATGAGAACTTAAACCATTCAGCAACATGCTGCTGATTCAAAGACCCCAGTATTTCCCACCAGAAGACCTAAGGTTG